AGAATAAACAATATATATACAGTATATCAGGGTATATACAGTATATCAAGATAAATAAGGATTAAGGTGCAAGTGTACATGTATCACACACAACCCATCCGCATCAGAGTCCTACTTAAGACTTCAATCAACAGCTTAACCTGCCACCAACAAGTATCTGAGTAATATTGCATGTCAGACTTGCATGTATTTTCAGTGTTTGATTTTGCAATGCCAAATCTCACATTTGATGTCAATGCAATGTCACTGATTTAACTCCATACAGAGCTCCCGCTTGGCCGTCACTCCAATCCCCTTTTTGAGCTAAGCTATGAGCCAAGAGTATTTTCCCCAGGCATCTGCTTGGTCTCAGCCTAATCGCTTAACAAGCTTTTTCAGGCCCGCCCTTGTTTTCTCCCACAGGTCTCGCCTGCCATTGTATCTTTTCAATTTACATTCCTCCACCCTCATCCGCCTGTCGCTCAGTTGCTCACACCTGACATGACCTTCCTTCCTCCCTGCTCATCCCCTCCATGAACAGTTTACGCACCGTTGATTCCCTCTTCGCTTGCCAACAGGAGTTCGTGGCTCCCACTTCGCCTGTGTTTCCTGTCATCTACTCATACCATCAATTTGTAATTGTTGGTATGCTCTTAGGTTTTCCCAGGTTTTTTATGTTAAGCTATTAGGTTTGCCTGTTAAAGAGATTGTAATCCACCTTAAATAACTAAGGTTACAAACAAACAAACTTAAGCACATACTGCTGGTACATTGCACCCACAGCACATTCCAGATATCTCACGCACACAGTCCATTGCTGCAGAATCAGCTCAGCCATAACACAGGGCAGAATCAGTGATCTGGCGAACTGTTTCCTCTGTGCTTGGTGCAGCTGCTTTAGATGAGGGCTGGTATTCCACTCAGGCTAAGTTATACCTAATTCTTAGACGGATTGGAATCTTTAACGATAATATTTACTCTGCTGACCAATCCAGTTGTGCAGATACAGCTCATCTTTAGGTCCCTCGGGATATTTCCTAGAGAGCTGGTCAGATATTTCTTGGCCCCTTCTATCACTCAGTCGGGGTTTCTGCTCTCCATTAAGTCATTCCGTTAATCAGTTTCTCAGATATCTCTAAGAATCATTTATATGTATCATCCTAAGGGAAGTTTCTTGCATCTTCTTTATCACCCCTCTAATGGCACTGCTATATGTAGGTTCCCCTAAATGTCCCTAACAAGCAATAAACAATGAAAACATGGAAGTTATACAACTGACAAATCTTTGATTTCAGGGCCTACGTAAAAGAGGTTAATCTGTGTTGAACGTCTTGTGACACAAGTGTGGATCCTGTTTCTAGCTCCTCTCCCTACACCTTTTGGTCAACAATTAGTACATTGTCATGGGTAGCAAAGGGATGTCAGACTGCTGTGCCAAATCCAGACCTTAGTTCTCTTGGCATCATTGCATGATGGAAACACACATGGATGATGCTAGTGTTGGAATCAAATATCAACGATGCAACCGAAGCTACTCCCTTCTGAAGGCACACCCCTCCCCATTTAACTTCCTGTTGTTGATGGCCCCTCGGCCACCTTAGGCTAGTTTGAGCACTTCTCAGCTGAAGACTTCGCTAAGTCACAACCACATCCCTCCAGAGAGGTTTATGCTTGCCGGACCGAGCCAGACCACTGTTCCTGCGATTCAAACCGAGTTAAATTGTGTTTCCTGGACCCGCCTGTGGCAGTAGAGGTAGAGGAAAGCTAATCCACCTCTGGTAACCTAAATCTAACCACCAGAGCAACAGTGGCCCAATTGCTTTTTGCAGAATAAGCCTGCCTGAGATGGACACAAAGAAGGAGTCGCCGAGGAGCTTCTACAAGAGGGCTGTGGCTACCCTCTCATTGCAATAGCTTAAGGGAGATGTCCCAGGCTGCTGTGAGTTATAAAATTAAGTTTAATGACCTTAACTGAATGCTAATGCTCACTGAACAGGCTGAATGAGTGGCGTGGACCTGAAGAAACTACCGCAGTGGACTGGCTAGCATCCTTAGATGCCATCTACCTCACGCTGAAAACGTTGCAGAGGCTATATCGTGAGCTTTTCTGTGTTACAGTTGGACCCATTCGGACCAGACCCCTGGGGCCAGCTAATCTAACCCATTCACTTTCAGCCTTATCACAGTTTAATGCATTCCTGAATTTTTTTTAACATAAAACCAGATAAATCTGCACTGTTTGACTGCATTTACCATCTCTGCATCAGGGTTTATTCAAATTTATCCGCTGCTATTCTGAAGAAAATTTTCAATGTATTAGGCCTTAAACTCAAACCTTCCTCAGACGTTGTATGGACTCTTTTAGTTGTTTATTTGTGCTTATTTTCAGTAGTGTTTAGCACCTGCATAGTTATTAGAAATAATAATGCTGTGTGATTAGTAGCTAATAAATGATTATCTAATAAATGACTAGCTCAGGCTGGATTATTTTAGTAGCATCTGAAGTAACAGAGACACATTTATCTGGTTGCCGATTAATAACTTTGCTAATAGCCATAGTCTAAATTACTAAACTGATGAAAGACAACTGAATTTCTCACAGCCGGAATCAGGTATCCAGCCTTTTATGTAAGAGACTAAAACCCTGGTCAGTAAGCAAATTACAATTATAATTATTCAACTGATAATTATTCATTAGTTTTACCCTTGATTTGAATGACCTATTAATTAAGGAAAATTTCCAGTTCTAGTTATCTGATATATTTATAATCTTCTGGTAAACTTGCCCAACACTAGTCAAAACCAGGACTACAGCCATTCCTAAAAGAATGCTAAAGAAGCAAGTTACACAAACATAGCGACCAACTGAAGCTCTTCGTTATAAAAGCCCAAATATAAAGATATAAACATTTCACACAGCGTACATTTAAGGAAATAATGTATTTTTGTTTTCTTATTCTGTTACATGGGTTGTGCCTATATTTCCTGTCACACAAAGTATTGTGGGAGTGTATAGCTCGTAAGCGGCAGATAGGAATGCAGGAGGTCTTTATGCAAAATGAACTATAAAAAGGAACCATCCGCCATCCTTTTTCTGCCTTCTTCCTTACTGCCAGCACTGTTTAAACAGCACTTTTCAAGGCATCCACTGATGCACTTCCACTTGAAATTTCTAAGCATTTTGATGGATTCAAGTACACTCTGGGTCTAAATTTTTTCCTTGCATTGTCTAGTAAAAAGACTTGGAACCCTTTCTGACAATCTGTTACATCTTTAGCTTCCTATGGATTGCTTGTATATGAATACACTTGAATGATATTTTTCTGATTTGGACTACAGCCTTCTAAAAAATGAACAACAAAAACACAATCTTAACAATGTATGGAATGGCTGACGCTGTCAGTTTTTAGGGACGAAACATTTGAAGCTGTGTACATTTGCATGTGTCACACACTACATCTGAGGCAGTAGTGTGTTTGTGTTCAATTCTGTTTGGTGGTTTGTGCCAACTGTATGCCTATGTCATTTTTAACAAAGGATTGTGGGATTCCTTATAGATCCTAAAGGCTAGATAGGAATGTTGCCATTTAGGTCCCTAGGCTAAATTACTGCAACTGTCAATAGGAGGCATCCTGGCATTCTGAAGCAGGAAGCTTCCTGTAAGTAGCTCCGTCAACATACAGAGCCCTCATTTCATCCATCTATGTTGTTGTGTCCTCTGGCAAGACAATTCAACAACCCTGTCTGACGGTGGTGGTCAGAGGACCCAGTGGCGCCAATTGTATAGTCGCCTTGCTTCTGTCAGTCTATCTTAATGCAGCTGTGATTACAATATAACTCAGTTTTTGAGTGTGTGCATGAACAGGTCAGTATAGTGTAAAATATTTTGAATATTTTGAATAGACCACTTTATGTGCCTTGGCCATTTAACATTTTCAGTCTATGACAGAATTAAACTAAGAGGTTTCTTATTCTGTTGTGAGCTAGAGATCTACTTAAAAACATCCACAGCCTAGGTCAAGCTTAGGTCAAACAGAGTTTATAGGTTGGGAATCATATCTGATTAATAATGTAGGTTTAAATGGTTTATAGAGTTGGCAAATATTTAAGCAGCCAATTATTACCCCCTCCCTTTAGCACAAGATTTTCTCTCCCTCTTCTCTTTGCCGACTTAACTGATCAACAGAAGTTTAAAGCCAGCATGCTAAATACATATTGGCAAAGGGCTTTCCACTGCTTGCAATTATTGAGAACTACATTTTATCAAATCTGATCTAACATGAAATTCTAAGACTAGTGAAAATTCAAGTCAGTTATTGTAAAAATAGATTTTTCATTCTTTTTCTTCTTTTATACCTTTTTCTATATTTTGATGTCTATTTCATAACTTTTTCACAAGTTCTGCCAAAAGTAGAACAAAAGTTTTACAAGGGAGACTGTTGCTTGAATTATTTTAGTTTAGTAGTAAGCTGTGGTCCTGCAGTGGGTAATTCTTTAAATGTCCTCCTGTTTATTGATAAAACATACATTTCATCAGAGGTGGCTTAACATTTTCAAGTTAACTTACACTGACTGATTCTCGAGTGTAGGTTGCAAAAAATTTTTAGTTGCAAAACTCTTCTTAGAACAGACCAAATTGCTGACTTGGACTTAGCAAAGTTTTCAGCATTGGTCAATAGATTTTTTTGTACATGTGTTATTTAACTGCTTATGTCAACTAGGGCCATTGTACTGTGCCAAGAAATAAGATCTCAAGGAGAGTTATTTGTTTTTGCAAAACATGTCAAATTTTTCATGATGCTTCTTAGATAACTTTTGTCCTCTTTGACCGCACTATGGTTAGGGGAAGCTCTCAGAGTTAGTGGTCTTATTAAAGAAACACTTTTAGCTAAGATTACGGAAAAGTTTGAGATTTGTACAAAACAGCTAAAGAACCTGTAAAAATTCCAGTAAAGAGCGGGTCCTTTAACCATCGCAAACATTCAAAAAGACTGCGAAAGATAGAGTAAAATGTACTGTACCTGTGTGCATCCAGGTTAGTTGGACACCTGCTTTGATCACCACAGAAAAGGAATGTCCACCTGCAGGGAGAATAAAAGACAGAGTATTATTAATATAAGCTAGCGTGTTATATGATGAAAATTATTTTTAAGGTTAACAAGAGTGAGATTAACTACGAGCCCTAATAACTCATGTGATATCGGCTGGTATTTACATGTCAAAATACTCTGATCATGACGTAATTTTTACACACAGAAACATTTCATACAAATTAATCTACATGCTGACCATGACATAATAAAATTTATTTTAGTAATGTATGAATTTTAATGTTACCAAGGTTATCAGGCCATATTTAAGCATTTAAATTTAATATTTAATAGACAAATATAACTTTTCTACCTGCAATAAAAAAGTCTAATAGAAATCAGTGTAGACCCTTATAGCAAGTGTAATAACATTCTCCTGGTGCCTGATGGCAGTCATATACTGAAGAGAGGAAAAATAAAATCAGGATGTTCCTTTCTTCTCCAGAGGAAGGAGGGGTGCGCTGGCCCCACTCAATGTATGTCTGTTGTTGTCTTCCATTATGTTGACTCAGGTTACAGTTCTAAATTCCATTTCCAGAACCTTTAACAAAGTGACTCATTAAATTACAAATTATTTGGCATGCCTTTATGGTATTTGTGAAAACCCGGAATTTATGGCTTATTTGCAGGGCTTCTCTGTTTAGGCTGTAGACCAGGTTTGGATAATCCAGTCCATAGGGCACAGACCCCCGAGTATTTCTAATGTTTTCTTGCCTAAAAACACCTACTTCAAATTAATGGATCATTAACAAGCTGCAGGAACTAGGTGACCATCTGGGGAGATAATTAAAGTATTTGGATAAAGTGTGTTCAAGCAGAGGCAGGTCTAACACATGCAGTACACTGGTCCCTGAGGACCAGATCAGCCCACCTCTGCAGAACTTGGCATACTTCTGAGATTTTTCCTTAACAAGTCTGAAGTTATTATTTTCATTAGCGCACAGATATTTAGACAGTGAAATGAGAGTCTTTCCCATTCCGATATCTTTGGTGTCTTCATAGTGAAGTGGTTGAAGTATTTGGTGATTGTGTGGGGACTGACTGGGCTCTGAATCCTGGTTGATTAATTTGTCATATCTTGCAGTGGGGAACCATGAATATGGGGGCAGCTGAAAGGATACAAGTAATTCTGATATCTTTGTCATTAGAACCAATATATGGAGAATATAAAACTAAAACACTTGCAGTGATCAAACCTAGAAGTAATTATTTTACTTGTGAAAGCTTTACTGAACTATTAAAAATAAACATTGCTTTACAAAACATAATCTTGAAGCCACTTCTGTTTTGTATAATCTAGCACTGAGACTAATTTGAATTAATTAATTATATTGATTTTAACGCATAAAAATTGACCCCATATAATTTGTTTTTTTAAATACAAAGGTCATACATGTAAATCTTTCTATTCGCGGTTTTTTGCACACAAGTAAATCTGACGTACAATTAGCATCACAAGCATTGGTCCACTGGAAGGATTCTAACTTAAAATCCATCTCAGTGCAATTCATGTTTGAGTCTGCACTGATGTTTCCAATGCTAATGTTACAGTTTGCAGATGCTGCACAAATTCTCCAGCCATCATTGGACCATATGAAAAGCTTCAGGGCCTACATAGGTAAGTCCACATCTGACTAATGAATGCTATGTTCACACTGCAGCCTGAAGGGACCCAAATCAAATTTTTTGTCCCATATGTGACCTGTATCAGATCTTTTCATGGCTGTCTGAACAACACAGATCAGATTTTTTTCCAATGCGACCCAGGTCACTTGGCTATGTGGTCCTTAATCCAACACAAAACTGATCTTTTCAAATGCGACCTGTGTCTGAACGGCCAGGGAGAGCAGTATTTATGTTTAACCACCTTGAAAAGATTGTGTTTTTATGGTTGGGAAAAATCACTATATGTGCTCCGGCACTACCATCCATGTTTACTTCCGTAAACACAGAGCACGCTGGCCTGTGATGTCACTGCATCCTCTATGAGGGACAATTGCGTTGTAAGACTGCAGTTCGCACAGGAGATCACATACAAGTCGCAAATATATGGAAATGTGAACAGAAAAATCTGAATTAAGCATCAAGGCCTGCAGTGTGAACGTAGCCTAAATGACTCTTTGGTGAAATAGATTGCAACCTGAATTGTTTGTCTTAATAACTGGCCTTAGGAGAAAAACTTAGCCTCAATGGTAAACATGCAACATTTAATTGCACTAAATATTGCATGTTGAATTGCAAATGGGCAATGCTTTATGTAGAGCTCTATTGTCCTAGTTCTGTTGATAGTAGTAGAAATTGAACTTTAACATCTGGTTACAGCCAATCTTAAAATGTTAAAGGCAATATTATATGCATTGCTGTCACATATTCATCATACTTGATGGAAGGAAATGTGCTATATAACTGATGTTAATTTTGTAATTAACACTTCTAAAGAAGTATTTTTTAAACTAAGTTGTATAAATTTTCTAGCATTTCTGCAGAAAAAGGAAGATGAAGAAAAAAATGAAATGAAGATAATTTCAAAACAATCTGATAGTTGAGTAACGTAACTAGTTAAAAACAGATAAATATTTGTGTTACTCTAGTCATATGTTTTTTTTTATTTTTTAATTAAAAGCGTTTTTATTTTGCATATAAGGTTTTCGGTTATAATGCAATTATTTAATTACAGTTTTTAATTTTAGCTTTTTATTGTCATTGTCACAAGTATAGACCAATTAAATGAACTCTCTGGATTAAACCCATCCCCTTGGGGAGCAATGCGCTGCCATTGTGCGACCCCCCGGGGAGCAGTGTGGGGTTAAGGCTCTTATGCTCAGGGACCCAGAGTGGCAGTCTGTGGGAGTAGGACTTGAACTCAAAACCTCTGGAGTACAAGCGCAATTCCCTAACCACTAGGGAGCAAAAGAATTTTAAAAAATGTAACTCAAAATTTCAATCAAGTCCCACTGTTAGTAATCCAGTCTGTGTGGGTTGTGTTTTTGTGTTTTCCCCCCTGCACCACCAGGCAGCGCCCTGTTCTCGTTGGTCCTCCCACACACCTCCAGCTGGTTGGCTCATTGTTGAGGACTTCTTAAGCGGTGGACTGCCACTACTTCGACGCTAGAGTGTTTGCCCGTTTTTGGAAGTCATCCTGCATACTGGATGTTTGGCCATCTCCCCCTGGAAGGATTGTTTGTGCTTCACACTGAGCAGAGGATTCATCTCCACACTTTCTGTTCAAGTTCTCCAGGAAATCTAAGTGACATTTCTCCTCAGGAACCAACCAAACCAAAAACCTGTCCACCCTCCAACAAGCCCCTCTATCTCTGGAAAACCCACACAGACTGGATTCAGGGAAGAACGCTTTCTCTGCAATCGTGAGTCCCGTTTATCTCTGTTTTTGCAAGACGTTGTTCAAAGTTCCCACGGACCCTGATCTAACCTCTGTGAACTTCCCTTCTCACTTCCAGTTCCGGTTCACCAGCTCTGTGAGTTCCCCTAAATCCAACCCTTTGAACTCCTCAATAAATCTGTTAAACTTCTACTCAGGTTTCTCTGAGTGGTTTTCTGCATGTGGGTCAGACCTCTTAGAACATCATGACACCCACAGCTATTATACTGGAAACTCATAAAAAAAAGTACAATTTGAATACTGAAATCAAACCTTATAAATGTTGTAATTATTTTACATTAAAGTATCAGTTTTCTCCACATATCAGGATTTTTTTTTTTTGACTGTTGCAAAGACTATCATATATCTCAGTTATTCTAGCTTAAAAAGCACCTATAGCCAGAATGAGAGACTGAGAGGTGCTCTATGGAGCATTGTTATTACTGGCATCTGAACCATTGCTCAATTGTCCAAAGGTTTGATTCTAGTTGGGAAACATAAATGACTGTTTCAAAAGAAATAACCACCTGTCTTCTTTTTCTAGAAGTCCAGTTAACTGTTCCTTAGTTAATGACAAAGAGCTATTCTTGTGCTGGCAGCTACTGCATAAATATGTCTCAAACAAATCTTTGTACTTTGCATGTTTAACTTCCTTGTTGTTGCTAATATAAGTATATTCATCCCCACCTACAGTAAGCTCCAAGGTAAACAAAAAAAAAACAAAGCATTTCTTATGTGTATTTATGTTACATTTTAACTGTGTTCTTGTACAATTTTCCCTCACAAAGAAGTAGCCTGAAATATCATAGCTTCCCCTTTTTGTCAGCATGTTTTCAACAGTACAGTGCAAAATATATCCACTGAAACTGAGCAAGGCACCATGCAAGGAAATTATTTACTTTGAAATCATGACAAAATTGAGACTTGAACCACTGCCTCTAAGTCTTCATGACCCCATAAATGTGTTAAATGTATTTTTTAATCATTTTAAAACACTAAACTTAACCTTGAGCATGCTTTATGACTGTTTAAAAGCCGGTTAGGTAAAGTAATTCAAGACTTGATAAAAAATATGTTACTAAACTGTATTTTTAATGAATGCGCTGAATGGGCATGTTTAAAATTAAAAGCTCAATTTCTTTTAAATAAAACATTAATTTACAATTTAGCCATTTAATAATCTATGCCAAGCCATTATAAAAAAAGCTTAATTCTGTTTTATCCTTCATAGGAGTGTTATCAAATTAAAAAGGGCAAAATTCGACTTCCAGGATATTTTTCTTTGTATTAATTTTGGATCAAAAGATGGATATCAGTTTATTGATGTTTCAAATTGATGTTTACTCAGAAAGTTTTTTCATCAATATTTACTACTTCTGTTTGATTGTAAATTAAAAAGACAAATTCCCTAGCGTAAGTCTGCTTTATAATTTCTCACTTAAATAAATCACCTTTTAAACTTTTGATTCACACAGAAAAACATCTTGAAACTTTTCCCCTATCCTGTAACCACTGTTTTAGTTTAGCTTCTCATCACAACTTTTCATGTGATAGTGTCAGGAATCCAGTTTGTGTGGTCTTTTTTCTGTCTGTCTCTCCCTCCACCACCAGG